CTCCTCCTCCTCCTCCTCCTCCTCCTCCTCATCCCCGCCGGGACACTCCCCGGAGCGGCCCTGGCCCCCCACCTCCGGAGGCGTGGCGTCCAGCGCCGCCCTCCGGCGCGCTCCGCGCGCCCGGCCGGGGGGCCGGCGCCGGCCCGCCGAAGTCCGCGCGGGCCTTCAGCAGCTCACGCTTAGGGAGGTCACCACCCACCAAACCACCCCAACCCAACCCGAAGGCTCAGATTTACCCTCGATTTCCAGTGGGGGGGGGGGTCGGGAAACATCGAAAAAACACATGTGGAACCCTTCCCCCCCCAACCCGAGATTCGGGTCTTCGGGTTGGGTTGGGGTGGTCTGGTAGGTAGTCAGGAGGGGAGCAAGAACACTTTTTTTTTTTTCGGTCGCGTCCGCGAGCGAGGGCGCAGGCGGAGTCAGAAGCCGTCTGGGGCGCGGAAGCAGGCCTAATCAGCTACTGGGCGCGCAGCAGGCGGCCGGGGGAGCAAGAGCACGCGCAGACACGAGGAAGCGTCGCTCCCCAGGAAGACGTAGGAAACTAAATGGGAAGCGGGGGGGAAGAGAGCCTAGCAAGGACAAGAACAGAGGGGGGATCCTGGGATTCGGTGTCTGTTTATGTTTGTGTGTCCCTGGGCCCCCTTTGCAGTGCTTTTGTCCTGCAGTGTCGCGCGCGAGGGCCGTGCCCCCCAGGGCAGCGGCGGCGGGGGCACCCGTGCGGAGGCCACTGCGCGGAGGCCCTGCTGCCGCCGCGCCCCCCCGATCCAGTCGGGCATGTCCAAAAGTGTCGGGGCAGGTCTCGGGGCCTCCTCCTCCTCCTCCCATCCGCCCCTCCTCCTCCTCCTCCTCCTCCTCCTCCTCCTCCTCCTCCTCCTCCGCATCCCCCTCCTGGTCGGCTGCACTGGCCGTCAGGCTTTCACAATCGCACACTCGTCCCCAGACCACGCTCGAACTATGTTTGGACATGTCCCCTGTAGAGGGACATTCGAGGCCTCCTAGATGGGGTCGGAGCAGATGGGGTCGGAGCAGACGGGGTCGCAGAATTTCAAAATGTACTCCTCCTGCAGAGGGATCGTCCCCAGACTGCTTTCGACGGTTTTAAGATGTGTTCCTCCTGCAGAGGGACATGCTCGGCTGAAATCCAGGCCGCCCAGACGGGGCCCGAGCAGATGCGGCTCGGTGCGGGGCCCGTTTCTCTCCGCGCCGGCGTCGCCGATGATCGCCCACGTCGACGGTGCATCGCCAGTGCATCGCCAATGCATCGCGGATGCATCGCCGATGCATCGCCGATGTGTCGGCGATGCGACGCGATCCTCCGACCCCATCTGCTCCGACCCCATCTAGGAGGCCTGGAATGTCCCTCTACAGGGGACATGTCCAAGCATAGTTCCAGCATGGTCTGGGGACGAGTGTGCGATTGTGAAGGCCTGACGGCCGGTGCCGCCGACCAGGAGGGGGATGAGGAGGAGGAGGAGGAGGAGGAGGAGGAGGAGGAGGAGGGGAGGAGGGGAGGAGGAGGAGGATGTGGAGATAACGAGGAGGAGGAGGAGGAGGAGGAGGAAGAAACGGACTCCCCCCTGGGACCTCCCTCCACAGGAGACGGGCCCCAGAACAGTGCAGGCATGGTCTGGGGCCGAGCGTGCGACGATTCCTGGCTCATGCGGGGACCACGCTCCGGCTATGCCTTGCGTTTCCTCCAGGTGCCGCCCGTGGGAGGACATGCCCCAGATCTCCTAATAAAAGGGAGGGGGTCTGGACCCTCCAAGACAAGCCACTTCAGACCCCCCCCCCGTGGGAGAACCCTCCAAAACACCGCCCCCAGACCCCCCCAGGCCCTCCAAGATAAGCCTGGAAGAGACCCCCTCCGAAATGAGGCCCCCCTCCCTTTATTACGAAATCTGGAGTCACCGACCAGAGCCCACGACCGTGGTGCGCCCGACGGGCCCTGGCGCCCCGAAGGCTGCCCCGGGCGCCCCCAGGCTCTGCGCGCGCTGGCCGGGCTGGGCCGGGCCGCCCGGTGGCACCGACCGGCCTCCCGCTCTCCGCGCACGGGGCGGCGTCGGCAGCCGTCGGTGTTCGGCGGCGCCGCGAGGCACCCGCAGCGGCAGCTCCGACGCCCCGACTGGCCTGCGGAGTCTCCTGTGTTGGGGGGGCATGTTCAAACGACGCGAAGATCGGGACAGAATCGGATCGGGATAACTCGAAATCTCTGAGGATCGGCGGGTTCGGAGGATGTATTGGGCGCCGCGGCCGCTCCAGCGCGTTCCGGAACGCTCTGAGAGCGCTCGTGAACGCTCTGGAGCGATTTATCCCGATCCTAGCCCTGTTTTAAGAGGTGCGAGGTTGGGGTCGGTGGAGGGTCAAGCGGTGGCGAAGCGCCCTGGCTTTCCCATATTTCGGGGGCGGCACAGAGGGGGGTGATGACAAGGGGGGTGGCTATCATGGCGTGGGCCATGATAGTTCCCAAGATGTCACGGCGCCTCCTCTTGTTTCATTACGTCCCTGCCCCCCCCGCCCCGCTGGGCCGCGCACATGCCGCCGGTCATGATTTGCACCCCCCCCTCTTGGACGCCCCCCTCTTTGCCGCCCCCGAATGTTATAGGCCCACCAGAGAAAGCTTCCACGAACTGTTCGTAGAGCATGTCTGGCTGGGGCTGCCTTGTCTTCACGCATCTGGTTCACGCTCCCTGAGAACATCGTTTGGGGTTCCTAGAGAAGCTTTGGGGTTGTAGGAACTACAGGGGCGCCGAGACGTTCGGTCCCTGCTCAAGGCATGCGCTTCGTGCTTGGTGGATGTGCTGGTGCAGCCAGGGGGAGGGTACCCCCTCGAATGCTCCTCGCGTCTTGGCCGGCGGAGGGTCTCACGTCCCTGCAGGATGGGATTCTGTCCTGGGCTTCAGTCGGGCAGGTCCCCCACAGGAGGCATATATATATATATATATATATATATATTCAAACATCGTAAAGCAAGAGTCTGGGGTCGTTTTTTTTTGTTCGTTTCCCATGTTTGACTACTTTGGATTGTCTATGGCTACTCTGGATTTTTCCTCGGAGTCCACCTGTAGGAGGATGTGCCTATTCCTCGATGGTTCCTCGATTTGTCTCCTTTGATTGTCCATGGCTATTCCTTGCGTACTTTTGATCGTCTATGGCTGTTCCTCGATTTGTCCTTCGAAGTCCACCTGTAGGAGGACGTGCCCGACCTCCTCCCTGGGTCCGCCTGGCGCCCCCTCGCGCTGCGGCCTGTCACTCGGTGCCGCGCGCGCGCCTCTCGGCGCGCGCGCCCGCCCCGCGCTGCGCTGCTGCCCCGGGCGCCTCCTCCCGGAGGCGGGCCCTCGGGGAGAACGCCTGTCCCCAGGCCGTGCAGCGACGTGCCTCCTCCTCCTCTTCCTCCTCCTCCTCCTCCTCCTCCTCCTCCTCCTCCTCCTCCTCCTCCTCCTCCTCCTCCCTCCTCTTCCTCCTCCTCCTCCTCTTCCTCCTCCTCCTCCTCCTCGTCCTCCTCCTACTGCGCCGGCGCCGGCCTCTCTCTCTCTCTCTCTAGATCTGTGCCGGGGAGAGGGCGGGTGCCTCGTAGACGGGGAGGTGGCAACCCCGCGGGCCGGGGTCACCGCACGATTCTGGGAATCCGGGTAGTCCGAAGACGTCTCGGGCGACTGCGGCCTCCAAGGCCCCATGACCGTGCGGCGACGGACCGCGCGGTGAGGTCGTGGGGGGTTCGAGGTCACCACGCCGTCCGTCGCCACACGATCGTGGGGCCCCGCAGACAAGCACCGCACCAGCTGGGCACGGGCCCCGAGGAGTGCCTCGCGCGTTCCCATCGGGCGCTTCGTCTTGGGAGGGCGATACAATTGGGCGAGGGCGGGGGAGAGTGGGGACCGAGAGTTGGAGGGAAGGAGATCTGTTTTGTGGCCTCCGGGGGCCAGCTCTGGCGGGCTGGAGGGGAGACGGAGGAGGAGCAACGGGAGCAGGAGGGCGAGGACGAGGACGAGGAAGGCTCTGACCTCCCTCCCACCCCATTTCCCGTGCCTCCTTCCCTGCGTCCTGCTCCTCCCTTTGCCTGTGGCGCGGGTGGCCGAGGCGAGGGCATGCGGGACGACGTCAACGTCGGCATCATAGAGAGGCGCCGCGAGCTTCTGGAGCGGCTCAACAAGGAGCACGCCAAGGCGTCCGCGCCACTTGGGGTGGGGCAGCCTCGGCTGCGAGCGAGGGGGGGAAGTGAGAAAGGGGCGGGCCTTCTCAGAAGGCTCGGAAGCCTCCCAGTCTTCGGAGAAGTTGTCCACGTCTTCCCCGAAGACGCAGAAAACCTTTCAGAAGGCCGGAGGGCTCTGAGAAGTCTCGCAGCCGCCTCCTGAGAAGGCCTTCTCTTTCTCACTTTACCCCCTGGCTCGCCGCCGACAGCCGCGGTGCCACTGTCCGGGCGAGCCTCGTGGAGAAGAGCTGTACGCACAGGTGGTGACGATCATGGTAACGCAGAGCATCCGCGGCACGGCCGTGACCACGACCACCACCACCACAGCTGCCCCCTCATCACAACCACCGCCGCGAGCACCAGACGCTGCCGTGACAATGGGGCGACAACCTGCACCACGGTGGCAGCGGCGGCGACGAAGAAGACGAGGACCAGTGGTGGCAAGTCAGGCACGGGGGACGGCCGGGGGCGAGGGGGTGCGTTCGGGGTAAGCTACACGCCGTGCGAGCGGCGCTGGGCGAAGGGTCCTGCGAGAGACGCCGGGAGTCTGTGCGGCCGGATCCGGGGCGGCCGGGAGTCTGTGCGGCCAGACCCGGGAAGGTTCGGAAGGATCGTGCGCGAGGGGAGGAGGGGAGGAGGAGGAGGAGGAGGAGGAGGAGGAGGAGGAGGAGGAGGAGGAGGGCGAAGGTGGGAGACGCCCTGGCGGTGTCGTACCGTTTTTCGGGGGAGCTGCGTCTGCTCCGGCGGGCCTATAGGGCCAGGACAAGGCGCTCCGCTCTCCGAGCGCTGCAGATCTCTGCGCCGTACACTTCTGCCGGGCGTGTCCCCCTACAGGGGGATTTTCCACGAAACATAAAAAAATACCAGCAACAATTCACCCAACAAGTCAAACAAATATCCGACAAACAGTCCCAGACCATTTTTTGACTACCTTCGGACTAGTTTCGAGGTATTTTTCATTTTTCGTCGAAAATCCCTCTTACAGGGGGAAGGCCCGGCTTAATCTTACACCGATCGTGGCCAGGCCCATCATCCTGGCCCCCTGGCTTGGCCAGGCAGGCGCGTGCACCAACCGCGGGCCCGGGAGCGACCTGGCCAGCATCGCCGGCTCCCTCCGACTTGGGCACCGCCGCGCCGCGAAGGACTACCGTCGGGGCGCTGAAGAAGGAACCCTTTTCGTTGGGGAGGGGCTCGGATTTCCTTGATTGTTTCGCAGTTTGCCTTGGGTTGTCCTTAGATTTTCGATGGGGAATCGAAGTTTAACTTATGGAAAACAGGGGCCTCGTTCCTTATTTAGGGTTCCTTAGGTCAAGGCCCCGACTGTACCTGGGCCCTTAGGGGGCCCTGGAAACGACCGGGCCGTTTTTTTACTGGCTCCGTTTTGCCGTCTTTTTGTTGCCGGTTCCGACGCCGTTTCTGTACCGGTTCCGTCGCCGTGGTTTGACCAGTTCCGGTTCCGGCTCCAATCTTGGAGCCGTGTTTTTGCCGTTTCCGGTCGCCGTTTTTGGGCCGTGTCCATGTTCAAGGGACCTTTTTTTCGGAAACGGTGAAAAGACGGCCCTGCCCTTTCCTGGGCCCACGAAACCTGGGCCCACAGGCTCAAGACGCCGAGATAAGAACCGCGTTTGGCTCAGCAGGACGCCCGAAATGGGTACGGAAAGAATGGGTACAATGCCCAACAGCGGACCTTGTTCATTTTGAACAGGATTCGCTGTCCACGCCGCCGCGGCCTGTGTCCATTCGAGACAGAAGGCCGCCTACCCAACAGCGGCCGCTGTTGGTTTGGGACAACATTTTCTGTTGTACCCATTTTTTTCGTACCCATTTCGGGCGTCCAAAAGGAGAGGGTCTGGGTTGCCGGGCGGCTCCTCCAATCTGCGTCTGGGACCCTGTTCGCGGCCGAGGCTCGCCGCCGCCAGGCAAGAGCTCTGCCGCGCTCTGCCCAGAGTCCCTGTCCTCCTCGCCCTTCCTCCTCCTCCTCCTCCTCGTCCTCTTCGTCCTCCTCGTCCTCTTCGTCCTCCTCGTCCTCTTCGTCCTCCTCCTCTTCGTCCTTTTCGTCCTTCTCCCCCTCCTTTTCCTCCTTCTCTTCCTCCTCCTCCTCCTCCTCCTCCTCGTCCTCTTCGTCCTTCTCCTCCTCCTTTTCCCTCCTCCTCCTCCTCCTTCTTCTCCTCCTTCTCCTTCTCCTCCTTCTCCTCCTTCTCCCCCTTCCATCCCCATCGTCCGCCCCCTTTCCGTGCAGGCAACTCCTCCCCGTCCCCTGGCAGCACGCCGGTGGCACCTTCGCCCCCGACGTCTCGGCCACGCGGCCGCGCGGGGCCGCCCTCCCCGCCCCGCCCACCGCGCGCCCCCAAGGCGGGCGGGAGGGCGCGCACGCAGCGCGCGTGCGCGAGCAGGGGGGCGGAGGGGCATACGGTAGGTTCGCGTCGTGTCGACCGGCGGCGACCACGCCGCGGGCGTTCAAGGTTGAACGCCGCCAGTGGCCCAGCATCGGCCCATATGGAACGATCGAGCGATCCACAGTCGCCGATCGTTCAAGGTCGAACGATCCACGCGGAGTCGGAAACCAACGCCAGGGTCGTCACGACACGAACCGGACGTGCGGAGCCGCCCGCAGGCCGAGAAGCACCGCCGCGGCACCCGCACCCCGAAGGACGGGCGCCCGCCGCAGCCCGTGCGATCTGCACGGCTCGCTCTCTCCGCGTGTCGCGCTCTCTCTCTCGCTCGCTCTCTCCCTCGCTCGCTCGCTCGCGCTCCCCTCCCCCCCTCCCTCCCTCCCTTGCCTTCACTCTCTCTCTCTCTCTCATTGTCTCTGTCTGTGCCCCGTCTTCTTCTGCCCCCGCTTGTTCCAGGCCTCTCCCAGGCTGGGTTCCCGTTCGGCGTAGAACAGTGCGGTCCCCACCTCCTCTCTCTCGCCTTTCCCGCCGCCGCCTGCCCACTCCTGGGTTGCTCCACGGGTGGCCGCGAGCTGCGCAGCTGTCGGACCGCGAGGCGCCTCTCTCCACAGCCTTCTCCTGCTGCCCGACGTCGACGCAGAGTGAAGCTGACCATTCGGAGCATCGGGCACGCAGGCTGTGGATCACGGCCGAACGTCCTGCTTCTGACACAGGAGAGACTCCGCACAACACTGATCTTGGCATCCTCGAAGCGGGTTGCAACGACATGTTTGGCGAGCAAGAATGAAGGGGAACTGGAACACACAAATAAATACACACAAATAAAAGGATCCCCCATATTTTCCCATATTTTCGGGGTTTCTGTCTTCCCCCCCACTTCCCATATTTTCCCATATTTTCTGGGGAATCGAGGATTAATTGTGTCTGTGTGTTTCTTTTCCTCCTGAAAGAATGGCGTCGTTCATGTGTTGGCGAATGGAACACAGTATGCCGTCACCTGTCCCAGGCGCCAGCATCAATGCTTTGGCCTGCGCAGAAAGCCCCGGCAGGGGCGTGGACGACAAGTTACCGCATGCACATCAACCCCTATCAAGGTTCCATGCCTCTTCGGCTGTCCAAGCTACAACGTGCACTCTCACAGCATCAACGACCTCGCACACGACCTCACATGCCCGAGAATGTGGTACCACCTATGTTAATCCCCGCGGTCTATTCTCCTCGGCGCTGTGAACCCCGTCTGAGGCTCAGTGGGGAGATCGCCGACGATGAGAAGGACGCCGACCACGTTATTGCGCGGAAGGCGACGGCCCAGAACAGGGGAGAAAAACATGGCATGAACACAACCACTCGGAAGTCCGCGCGGCCTCCTCGGATCCGCGCAAGACCCCCCACCCTGATGCGCAATCAGCGCACCGGGGGCGGCCCCCGGGGCGCCGCCACGGGGCCCCAGCGCCGATGCGATGAATCCGCGCGGACCTCCGAGTCTTTCTGTTTATGCCATTCGTCGTTCCCCCCTAGTTGTTTCAGGAGGGAAAAAAATACAGACACAATTAATCGTCGACTCCCAGGAGAATATGGCAAAATATTGGAATTGTTTTATTTGTGCGTATTTATTTGTGCGTTTGTGGGCCCCTTCATTGTTGCGCCGGTGGCGGTGGCCTGGAAGACGCACAGCTGCCTCCGCAGCCACAGCCCGACCTCTCCAACAGCGAGGCCAGGGGCAGCATCCACAGCGTCAAGACACGGGCGCAGCTGCTGCCGCTCGCCGAAAAACAAATCCCGCGCGCTTCTGCGGTGGCGCGGGGCCGCGGCGGCGCCAGAGCCCACAGACGTTCCGAGTGGGACGTTCGCTCCCCGCTCATCCCATCTTAGGGGAACGAAGAACGACATACACACAAAAACTCGGAGGTCCGCGCGGATCTCTCGGATCCGCGCTGGACCTTCTCTTTGGCGCGCAGAGCGCGCCAGGGGCGGCGCCGCCAGGGGGCTCCAGCGCCGATGCGAGAAGTCCGCTCGCCTTCGAGTGTTTGTGTTTATGTCATTGTTCGTTTCCCTGCATCCGTGCCTCTGCCCTCCGCGTGTCAGTCACTTCTGGGCGCCCCTGGCGTGCTCCGTGGCGCCGTGGTGAGCTCCACCGATGCCCCAGAGGCGACGTTCGCACGCGTCTCCACCGCCTAGTTTGGCACACCCCTCGCGCGCTTCATCTCCATACGGAGCTCCACCGAGGTCCCCAGTGCCGGCGTTCGCATGCGTCCCCCGCGCCGCTTTCGGCGCACCCCTCACACGTTTCGTGCCCCACAGGGAGATCCACCGAAGATTTCAGTGGTGGTGACGTTCGAATGCGTCCCCCCCGCCGGTTTCGGCACACACACACACATCACGCGCCTTGTGGCCCCATACGGAGCTCAGCCGAAGGCCCCAGTGGTGACGCCCGCATGCGTTCCCCGCACCGATGTTGGCACACATCTCACATGTTTCGTGCCCCCATCAAGGGGGCTCCACCAAAGGCCCCAACGGCGACGTTCGCTCGATTTCGGTACACCCGTCCCATGGGGAGCTCCACCGAAGGCCTCAGTGGAGACGTTTGCATGTCCCCCCCCCATTTCGTCACACCCCGGACACGCTTCGTGGCCTCAGATGGAGCTCCACCTCGGACCCCCTACTAGTGGCGACGTTCGCATGCGCCCCCCCCTCTGCCCATGTCGGTGCACCGCTCACACGCTTCGTCGCCCCATAGGGAGGTCCATCTAAGGCCTCAGCGGCGACGTTCGCAAGCGCACCCCCCCCCCAATGGGGAGCTCCACCGACGGCTCCAATGACCGCGCCCGCTTGGCACCGCCGCGCTCGTCTCGGCACACCCCCTCGCACGCTTCTCGGAAGCTGGGCGAGAGCTGGCAAATCCGTGGCTGCTAAAACGGTCCTCCCGGAAGAGCAAACAAATTCCTGGAAGAAGAACTCAGCGCGCTGAATAGCAAACGGGCTGCTTCCCGGATGGAAAACAAACACTTTCCCGGAGCCTGGCTTCCGAGCTTCGTGGCCCCATAGGGGAGCTCCACCGCGAGGCTTCCGTGGCGACGCTTGCATGCGGACCCCAGACCGATGTCGGCGCTTTTTTCGCCACCTTTGCCGCCATGAGCCGTCGGGGGTGGGTGGACAGAACCCCCAACAGTGACACGTCGATTGATGAATTCTCCGTTGTCGGTCCTCGAGAGGGCGCCGTGGCCGTTCTTTTCCAGGCTCGCGCCCGCCGGGTTTGGGCCTCAGGTCGTTTTCACTGAACCACGTTGTACAAAAGGGGGGTCTGTCCATCCCCGAGAGCCGCCTCCATGGGGCGCCCCGTGGGCCGGGTGGGTTTCCCGGGCTTGCGCCAAGTTTTCCGCCCCGTGGGCACCAATTGTGGTCGCCCCGTGCTCCGAGCTCCCACCGCGCAGATGTCAGCACATTGCCCACACCACAGGGTGCACCACAGAGCTTGCACCGCAAACATATATATATATATATATATGTATAAGGGGCGGAAAAGAGGGGGGTGATGACTAGGGGGGGGATACCATGGCGTGGGCCATGATATTTCCCCAGATCTCATGGCGCCTCTTCTCATTTCATTACGTTCCTGGCCCCCCCCGCTGGGCCGCGCACATGCCGCCGGTCATGATTTGCACCCCCCCTCCTGGACACCCCCCTCTTGGCCGCTACTGAATATAGCACATCACAACTTACGTCACACAGCTTGCACCCAATAGCTGTCCCTTCCGTGCCGCACACGTGCCAGCGTACACCGAAGAGTTTGCACCACACAGTTTGCACCTCGGAGTCTTCACGCCTCCAGCTCATGCACGTAGCTTACAAGCTATGATTTTCATCACATCGCTTGCACCGCATAGCTTTCACCTCCAGAGTGCCATAACGCACTGTTCGGAATCCAAGCTGGCGAAAACATATGGAAAAACATCTAGTTTGTTTGGTTTGATGTATCTTTCTCTCTCTCTGTATCTATCTATCTCCCTCCTCCATACCTTGACTGTGTGGGCGCTGGTGGATACTTCAGCCGTGCTCATGGAAATCAGAATGTTGGCATTTGCGGATCGGGAGTGCATGCTGGTTTCGGCCGGATTTTCGGGCCAGCAGGGGCCCTAAACGTTTGCATTCAACGTCGCGCAAGCGTCGAGCGTCTGTTCCCGCCTGGCACTATGCAGACACCGTTCATCTCTATCAATTTCTTCTCGCCATTGTCGGCGATTCCACTGATGATCCCGGAGAGGGGGAGAGAGAGGGAGAGAGATAGCGAGAAAAAAAAACGAGCGAGAGCGAGGGAGAGAAAAAGAGAGAGAGAGAGAGACAGAGAGGGAGAGAGAGGGAGAATGTGTGTGTGTGACAGCGGGGCGACTTATGTTCGACCTTCTGGGGCTTACGGATTTACGCACACGTTTCAACAAAGGTTGATTGTCGCTATATCGTTGTTGCCTTTATCGGATCTGTGTTATGCCATTTGTGACCCAGCAGCGCGTCGGAGGACAACGTGTGTGCGCGTGTGTGTGTGTGTTTGTGTGTGCGCGCGCGTGTGTGTGTCTGTGTGTGTGCGTGTGTGTGTCTGTGTGTGTGCGTGCGTGTGTGTGTGTGTCTGTGTGTGTGCGTGTGTGTGTGTTTGTGTGTGTGTGTGTGTGTGTGTGTGTGTGTGTGTGTGTGTGTGTGTGTGTGTGTGTGTGTGTGTGTGTGTGTGTGTGTGTGTGTGTGTGTGTGTGTGTGTGTGTGTGTGTGTGTGTGTGGGGGGGGTCAGTGTGGTGGTCAGTGTGTTGGCTCGGAGTTACGTCCTCCCCCGCTGCAGTCCTCTCCTTGCCATGCTGTCCCATGTGGTTAGGTTATACGTTGAGGAACTGTTGAAGTTAGTGTGCTGGGATGGGGTGAGCCAGTGGAGGGGCTCTGAGAGAAGTGCGTGTGTGTGTTTGCAACTAAGGCCGATTTCACTTATGCTCACCTCGAGCCGGTGCGTAGGCCGCGCCGCACCCGAGGTGGCTGGAGCGAGCACGAGGTGGCGAGTGGCGCACATGGGGAGTGGTAGAAGCAGCACTTGCGTGCGTTCTGTTTCTCCTTCCCAGTTGGTATTTCTCCTTCCAGGTTCGATGGTTTTGATACGGACGAATTGGCTTCCCCTGCGTGGAGGACGTTCGGACAGTAGTGGGATTGATTGTTTACGCTTACATGGCATTATAGGTGTTGTTGCTGGAAGCTGTCTTGCTTGAACTTCGCAATTGCACTCCATTCGAAGGACCTGATGATTTGGGAAACCCCTATGCACCATGGTTCAAATTTCAATTTACACGCACGGACACTTACGCAGCCAATTCGCTAGGCAAGTCCATTGCCAGGCGTCTTAGCTAGCCTTGCACCGAGCTGTTTAGGAGGCCTCCATTTGGAGCCACAAGGGGGTCTCCGTCGAAGCCGCTCCCTTGCAGTTGTTCATCCCTCAGGCATTCAGGGAGACCTGGCTAGGTCGCGAGATGGTGTTGTCGGCGTTTTCTCGTTGAGCAGGCTTCCTGTTTTTTTTTCCTGGGGCGCGATTGGCAATTTCCTTGCTCCACCCAGGGAATTTGCTGGTTCGCCTCGGCCGCATCCGCTCGCGTTCCTCGCTGGACCCCAGACAGTTCGCCTCTAGAATTTCCCTCGTTGGCCTCGAGCAATGCCTGTGTTTGCCTGTCGACCCTCTGGAGTCACCAGAAGCTGCGCCCTGATGCTGCCTCTGATGCCGGCCAGCGCCCCAGAGCCCACCAGACACAGCAGGTGCACCACACGAGACGCCAGCCTGCCCGCAGGCGGCCCATGGCGATGCCTCGCCCCGCGGTGGCGCCCGGGCGGGGGGGCTCGAAGAGCCCCGCGGGGCAGCTCGGGAAGTCCAGGGATCCGCGAAGAACGTGCCCCCCAGATTCTCTCCAGCAGGGTCTCCTTGGCGTATGTCCGGCGTGCCCCCAGGTTCTGCTCAGCGGGGCCTCTCATCGCATATGCCCCTGCCGTGCCCTCCCGGAGGGCCGGGCCAGGAGGCGCAGCCCCGCGGGCCAGGGCGCGGGCCCGCGGGGCTCTGCGCGTCGTGGCCGCGCGGCACGGGTCGGCCGGGGGCCGGCGCTGCTGCGGAGGCGGCGTTCACACCCCGTGGCTCACCACCCACCAAACCACCCCAACTCAACCCGAAGGCTCAAATTTAGCCTCGATTTCCAGTGTGGGGGGGTCGGGAAACATCGAAAAAACACATGTGGAACCCTTACCCCCCCCAACCCGAAATTCGGGTCTTCGGGTTGGGCTGGGGTGGTCTGGTAGGTAGTCAGTGGCGCAGGTGCCCCGTCGGCCTGCATTTGCTCTTGGAGACCTGCTGGAAGCGCGCGGGGCCCGCCCGGGCGGGGCGTTCCCCCCAAACGAGGTCGGGCCGCGCGGGGCGCGCGCGCGTGCAGCGCGGGCGCGGGCGGCGGCTGCGGCGCCAGGAGGAATCCCAGCACTTCTGGGCGAAGTGGTTCACCATCGCCGACAAGCGGATGGGCGAGACGCTGAAGTGCCCACGCCTGGGGCGCAGGGTAAAGGCTTCGGGCCGGACGGGAGGGGGGGAAGAGTCGACCGTGCCCCGTTGCTCGAAGCGTCATCGTTCCCCGTGCCTCCCGACGCCGCACGAAGGCCAGCTGCTCTCCGCTGCTTCGGAGGGAAGAGATCCGACGCTACCACCACCAGGAGTGCCACGTCCTGGGAAGGGTCCACGATGCCTCCCCGAGCTGTGGACAGGGGATGTGTCGAGCGCGAGGGGGAGCCCAACCACCAAGGGGGCACCGCCTGGCGCCTTGCGCTGGTGGTGGTGGTGGTGGTGTCGCCTTTCCTTGTCCTCTTCTCCTATCCCTCCCCCTGGTCGTCCGCCCCGAGCCTGGCGCCTTCAGCGAGGGGTTCGGCCGTGGCCAAGGTTGTTCGGTCCTCCTCCTCCTCCTCCTCCTCCTCCTCCTCCTCCTCCTCCTCCTCCTCGGTGGCCTCGGTGACCGATGAGCGCCTGGTCACTCCACGAGCAACCGACGCACTCCTCCTCCACCTCCACCTCCTCCTCCTCCTCCTCCTCCTCCTCCTCCTGCTCCTGCTGCTCCGCCTCCTCCTCCTCCTCCTCCTCCTCCTCCTCCTCCTCCTGGTCCTCCTCCTCCTCCTCATCCTCCTTAGGGTACTCGAACTCCTCCTCCTCCTCCTCCTCCTCTCCTCCTCCTCCTCCTCCTCCTCCTCGACCTCCTCCTCGAGGGGCTCCGTGGGGTGGACCTCGCAGGACCCCCCCCCCCGCGGCGGGGGGGGATGTCCGGGGGCCCACAGGCGTTCGAGGCCGCCCTCGCGGCAGGAGGCCCTGGGCCCGTCGAAGGCAAGATATGCGCCACGGACCCGGAGATGCAGCGCATTGCAAAAATCAAGACGGAGGTTTCTCGCAAATTTCGTCCCCCAGGTCTAGGCCTCCTAGATGGGGTCGGAGTAGATGGGGTCGGAGGATCGCGCCGCATCGCCGATGCATCGCCGATGCGGCTCGATGTGCAGCCCGACTTGCGTCACGTCGACGTCGCCGATGCATCGCCAACGTCGACGATGCATCGCCGGTGCATCGCCGATGCATCGACGATGTATCGCCGATGTATCGGCGATTCGGCGCGATCATCCGACCCCATCTACTCCGACCCCATCTAAGAGGCCTCTACCAGGGGCCTTCGACGGACCTCGTGGCCGTCAAAAAAAGACTCAGGAGGAACAACCGGTCCTGGGGAATGGGTCAGGACTTCCGGGGACCGCGCGTTGAGAAAATCACGACGTCGGATCTCTGGGGAGACGCAGCCAACTGGGCCAACCGGCATGGTGAGGATGGGCCACCTTCCCAAGCCTACCCCTGCATCCTGGCCTCCTCGGCCCGTCCTCGGCCACTCTCGTTGGCCGCACCCCGCTCGAAGAGCTTCGAAGTGGGCGTCCGAGGCCCCTGCGTCCTTCTCGCGCATCCTTGTGACACGGGCCGACTGTAACTGGGGCGGGGCCTGAGACGGCGCCGAGTGGACCTGAGCACAGCCCAGCAAGGCTCCAAGACCGCTCCAGGCGCTCGAGAGGCGCTCCGGGAGCGGCCCAAGAGATCTCCAGGAGGCCCCAGGGGGATCCAACACGTCAGGATGTCAGACCGTCCCCAGGCGGCCCCTAAATGGACCCGGCCCAGAGGGCCCATGGACGCCCCAAGAGTCATGGCGCCATCATCGCAAAGCGGATTTCGTTCGGAAAACAATTGGGTGGGCCAAGGCCGTCCTGGAGAATGTTCGTTCCGGCTTTCGAGGTGAAGTTCGTGTCGATTTTGTTTTGGCCAGGACTGAAGACTAAATACAACAAATCCACGTGAATTTCACTTCGTTTTTCGCTCGCCGTTTCGGGTTTCGCATTGACGGACATCCACGCAGCAATCCGCTGTAGCACGTCTGCAAGGTCGGTGCAGTGACAACCGAAGAGGGCCCCAAAAGGTTCCACGAGAGCCCCATAGGAGGCACACGCGAGAGCCCCCCGCCCGAGTCTCCAGAGTTTTTGCGTGTCTGGCCTTTGCTTGGCATCGCTCGGACGTGTGCATTTTTCCTTCGGCGAGGACCATCGAGGAGCATCCTTGATGATCTGGGGAAAAGAACACGAGCGATTTGGGAAACAGGGAATGGACGTCCGAGCGATGCCCAGTTTGGCAGGCTGTGTGAGAGAGACTGCGTGTGAACGACAGCAATGCCTTGGAGGGTTATGGCGCTTCCCGCGCGGAAGCGCCTCACGGTAAAACTTAGGTTCGTTGTTCATCCTCCTGCTTTCTCCTGAACCGTTCCTCCTCCTTCTCTCTCGTGGCGTTCCCTCTGCGATCTCAGCTCGCCTGCGCACCATGCAGATTCTCCATCATTGTCCTGCTCCCGCCTCCGTTTCCGGCTTCTCCCTCACCCACACCCCCCTCTCTGCACGCCCGAAATGGGTACTGAAAGAATGGGTACGATGTCCAACAGCAGCTCTTGTTCATTCTGAACAGGACTCGCTGTCCACGCCGCCGCGGCCTGTGTCCATTCGAGACAGGAGGTCGCCCGCCCAACAGCGGCCGCTGTTGGTTCGGGACAACATTTGTTGTTGGGCATGTTGCCCATTCTTTCGGTACCCATTTCGGGTGTCCAAACCCTCCAGGAGATCACAGGAGTGCGCCAAGAGGGCCCTCAGACCCAAAAACTCGGCCCGTTCTTTGAGCCACTCCGCAAGCGTTTCACGAAGTCTGGAGCCCGATCCACGAGATCTGCGCGGACCCCCGAAGGGTCGTGCTTACAGGAGGAGGAGGAGGAGGAGGAGGAGGAGGAGGAGGAGGACGAGGAGGAGGAGGGGGAGGGGGAGGGGGAGGGGGAGGATGAGGAGGAGGAGGAGGAGGAGGAGGAGGAGGAGGAGGAGGAGGAGGGGAGGAGGCGGAGGCGGAGGCGGAGGCGGGAGGCGGAGGCGGAGGCGGAGGAGGAGGAGGAGGAGGAGGAGAGGAAGAAGGCGGAGGCGGAGGCGGCGGCGGAGGAGGAGGAGGAGGAGGAGGAGGAGGAGGAGGAGGAGGCGGAGGAGGAGGAGGAGGAGGAGGAGGAGGCGGAGGAGGAGGAGGAGGAGGAGAAGGAGGAGGAGGAGGAGGAGGAGGAGGAGCTTTGAGTTTTTTGTTGACCATTTCTGAATAGTTTGGATTCTTCATAATTTGTCGTCCGAGATCCGCCTGTAGGGGGACAGACCCGACCTAACTCTGGGAACCCCCGACCCGGACCCCCGCAACGGCCCCCAGATGTCCATATAGTTTCAAGGGGCTTCGCGAGCTCCTGATGGTCGAGGGCCGAGGAGGTGTTTGAACGATGTGGAGCGTTGCAAAACGGACTCGGGGATCGGGAGGGGGCCCTGAGGGGAGGGTGGCGGGTCCCTCAGTGACGACCCCCATTGGCATTGGCTGGGAGAGTGATATAATGGTGTGAACTCCGGCCCGAGCGCTGCGGATCGACAGAGGGATGCGCCGCCATGAAGGGCAAGGGCCTTGAGGGGCACGGGTCCCAGGGCCGGCGGCTCTCCCCAGGACCAGGTCTTCACAGGATTGGGCCTAATCGCTGTTTTGCTGGACTTCGGCTGTGCTTGGTTTTTCGTTTGGGCAGGGCGGTACAGGAAACCAAGGAGAGCTAAACGAAAAGCACAACGAGAACAAAACGAAAATCAACGTTTAAGTCCAGCCCTAGGACAAGGGTCTTGTGAGGGGCTCTGGCCCCATGCCCCGGCGGCTTCCCCCAGGACCAGGTCTTCATCCTGAGCTGTTTTTCCACTGCCTGCGGGCCCGAACACTCGAGAAATAGTGCGGAACTTCTTTAAACTCGGGGGCCCCCAGGCGGCGTGGTGACCACTCCGTGTGGTGAGTCAGTGGGGACTGAGGGGTCACCGCGCGGTCTTGGCACTCGGGTCGCTCTCCGAGGACGCCTCGGGCGACCGGTGCCGCCGAGGCCCCGAGACCATGCAATGGCAATGCCGGGCCGTCCGAGGTCACCCCGCGGTCTGTCACCACAGTTCTCTTACAAGCGCGAAGAAGCCCTGCGGCACGAAGACTCCGGCTGGACGAAAGGGGGGGATTTGGAAAGGGGGGGGTACGAAATTTGCTACATGCAGCTGGTCTCGGCCCCACTGAGGGGCCCATTCCTCGAGACATAGCCGCCTCCGGCGCCGGGAGGCGCCGGGGAAATCACCCACGTGAGCTGATTCTCAAACACCCCCCTTTGCTATCCCCCCCTTTCGCCCGACCCGAAAGACGGGAACGAGGGAGGAGAGGGTGGGAAGGGGTTGGCGGAACACATCGGAGCAGCCCTGCCCGGAGCTGCCGACGTTGGCCTCCGTTCGGCGGCCGGGCCAGCGTGGCGAGCCGCCGGCGCAGCGCTGCACCACTGGGTTTCGGGACCCCCCGCGTTCCTCCAGGACCCGTTTCTTTCATGCTACATTTATGTCGGGCGTGTCCCCCTACAGGGGGATTTTCGGCGAAAATTACAAATACCCCCAAAATGCACTAAAAAGAAAGAAAAAAAAAAAACTCTAAAAATAGTCCCCCGACTATTTTTGGACTATGTTTTGATTATTGTTGGGGTATGTTTTATTTTTCGTCGGACATCCCCCTGTAGGGGGACAGGCCCGACTTAACGCTATATGATGGGGGGGCTCATCCGAGGTTCGAGTGGTGGGGCGAGGAGCAGGTCAAGAAGAGCGGGATCCTGGCCATGGCGGGCATGTCCCAGCAGCCCGAGGACTGCTCGCCCTCGACGCAAGTCGTCGTCCGCGTCGCGGTGCTCGTCGGCGTCCTCGTCGCCATCCTCGCTGTCGTCGTCCTCGTCGTCTTCCTGGTCCTCGTCCTCGTCCCTGTCCTCGAGGTAGGAGGGGGACGAGGAGGGAGGGGCGCATGGTGCAGGAGGCGGGTTTCTCAAGTTCCGGGGGAGGGCCAAACTGTTGCCCTCAACAGCTTGGGTCCAGGACTGGCGGAGATGGTTGTCGTCGTTTCTGGCCTGTTTCTGCCGCTTCCTACCGTCGTTTCCCCCTTTCTGTGCAGATGGTGCGGTTGGTTCGGGTCTCGATCGTTTGCGAGCCAGTTGCGCGCGTTCTCTGGACCCTGGGACACACCAGGCCTTTCGCCTCCTGTCGAGGCCGTCTGCTGAGTCGTTTCGGGGAGACGTTTTTCTTGAAATTTACATGTTCGCAACATCAGCTTTCCCGAGCCGTCTCCAGGTCCCAGTCAGGTCTGGGAGGCAGTAGTCATGGATTGGTCCTCACTTCTTGAAGAGCTCTCATGGTGCTCATTTGGGCCGTCTTGGGGCTCACTTGGGATCCAGTGAGGCAGTCTTGTCGGTTCCCTGGTGCCTTCTTTGGCAGTTTGGGGGCCGCCTTGGAGATCTTTTGAGCCATCTCGGTTCCATCTTGGCCGTTTAGGGTGTTCGTGGGGCCGTCGGAAGGCCCTCTGATGACGTCCCGAGTCCCTCGGGATGCCCTTCCAAGCCCAGTGTGGAGGCCGCTGTGGCCGTCCTGGACCGCCTGTGCCATCCTGGAGGCCGCTGGGGCCACGTGGACCCGACGGAAGCGCGGACAGGCGAGAATGGGAAAGTGCTTCGGAACCTTGAGGTAGTCAATGATTTGGGCATATTCAGGCCATGTTGGGGCCCCTGGGGGTGATTTGAGGGTGTTCTGGGGCTGATTTGGGGGTGTTCTGGGGGTGATTTGGGGCAGGTTCTGGGGGTGATTTGGGGCGGGTTCTGGGGGTGATTTGGGGGTGTTCTGGGGGTGATTTGGGGGTGTTCTGGGGGTGATTTGGGGCCCCTCTGGAAGCCCTGCGGGCGTGATGGGTGCCCTCTTGGGCCGTCGGGGGGGGGGCACATCGAGCCGTCGGGGGACCGCACCTTCTACGCCATCTCGGCGGTGTTGGCGGCCCGCCTCGCGTGTGTTGGAAGAGGTCCGTGGCCTCGAGAGCGCGGACGCATTTTTACAAGCGATCGTACGGTAGGTTTGCGTCGTGTCGACCAGCGGCGACCCCAGCGCGGGCGTTCAAGGTTGAACGCCGCCGGCGACCCAGAATCGATCGATGTTGAACGATCGGACGTCGCGGCAGCGGCCGATCGTTCAAGGTTGAACGATCCCTGCGGTGTCAAAAACCAACGCTGGGGTCGGCACGACACGAACCTGCCGTAGCCTCGGGAGCGCGGACCCCTCGTTGTTGTTCAGGGATCGTGGCCCGTGGAGGGGGGGGGGGGGGGCGACGCATGAAACGAGGCGGTGGTGAAGGTGGGCTGGGGGCCTTAGAATGTTACAGCACCCCTACAGGACAGCACTTGGCAGGACGCCACGCCTCAACGTATCAAGGGGTACGGAACACCCTGCCAGGCAGCACTTGGCACGTGCCCGCGCGACAAGATCATCGGCATCCCAAACAGGCAGCGTTTGGCATTCTGCCACGCCGCAACGTGCCGCTGGGCACGGTGGCGGCTTGGAGATAGTAAGGGGGGGGTTTGGCGATGAGGGGGTCCTCGTCCTCGCTGGCAGGCACGACATCGCGGAGCAAAGAGCTAGAGTAGCTTTCTGATCCACGGGCTGGTAAGGCCATCAGTAGAGCTGACAGGATGTATGCACGCAACGGTGCAGGCCGTTTCTTGAAGTTCCTCATCCTCGTCCGACCCACCTTATTTCCTCCCCGCGCACCCGTCCTGGACATGGCCGCTGGCACTGCAGCGCGGCAGGTTCTTTGCGACGACAGCTTGATCGTCAGTGCACTGAAGCTAGGCGCGACCGAAAGCAGGGGTTAGTCTTTGGTTGAAGCCATACACGCGCAATATACCGCGATTAGATGCGAAGCCATGAGGTGCCAGCCGATGTCCATCAAGGCACAGTATAGCAATGCCTGCAATAGCATGGCCCAGCATACCATGGCATGGGGCAAAGCATGGCGTGGCATAGCATGGCGTATCTCAGCAACGCATACGATGGCGATCACATTATTGAACAGCATTGCGCATCATCGTGCAACATGACATTTCATAGTCAAGCATGACAGTGCACAGCAGTGCACAACATGGCGTCGCATAGTGTGAACCGTGCGCGAAGAACTGGTGTGCGGAACGCGAGGAATCGGTCTGACAGGGGCGTCGCGACAGCGCTGCTTGTCACAAAGCAAACGAGACACGAGACCCCTTTTGTGGAAGTCTTATGCGTCCGCGGAAGGCGGGGCGACGCTATGCTACCGATGCCGATGCTCCTCAACCTCCTCCTCCTCCTCCTCCTCCTCCTCGGCATCACCCTGCGTTTCGGACCCGATACGCCACACTCATCTCAATACCCGATAGCCCTGCGTAGGGCACGTGCGGCTCGTTTTGCGATGGCAGGTGCCGGACCTGTTTCACCCTCTCCCGGCTAACTCGAGCGCGCGTGCGGATCGCCGCCTGCCGCGCTGCGGTGGAAGAAAAGTGCGGGTCCTGTGCGGGGCCTTCTGGGCTGAACTTGCTATTGTGCCAGGCGGACCTCGGCACGTTCGGGGCCAGGTGCGCCGTATGTCGCGCCCCCCCTCTGCGGGCATGCGCCGCAGCACGCGCCCGCACGTAGCTTGCCGACGCGAAGGTTCGAGAAAGCCACGAAGCGCATGGCCGCATAAGGCCGCACAGTTACCAGTCGGATCCGCAATCATGCCCGCGCTTGCCTGGATTCGCCAAAGCCTCCATGACTTGCGAGGCCCGCCTGGATCTCCCAGTGTTTGCAAACAAACCTCCCAGCATCTGCGGCAACAGATGCCGCCGCACACGCCTGCCAGCGCCTGCGAGACCCGCAGGCCCCATGCCTCCTCTCCTCTGGCTCTCATGTGCGCTGGCCGTTCGGGCATCTGGGGATGGACGCCAATGCCACTCGGGTCGCGCCACTGCCGACCTGCGTCTTGCTCGGGTGGGTTCGGACTGTGCGGATACTGTGCGTGCTTGAGCGGGGCATACGCGGGACTTGTGCGGGATGCGCAGCCAGGCCAGAGCCGAGGAGGGGGGGGCGCCGAGGTGAGTGACCTCGCCAGCATGCTTGTATGTTTGCATGCTTGCGCATTCGAATGTGGGACGAACATAGAGATGTCTTCATGTATACTTGCATTGTGCTATTCCTGTGAAACTGCATGCTTGTTGAATCGCGTTCGACCAGTGGCGGAGGAGGATGAGGAAGAGCAGGGGAAGAGGCGAGATAGGATGAGGAGCAAGAGGAGGACGCAGACCCGCAAGAGGGGCGATCGCCTGAGCGGATCTGCAGGACCATCGAGCAGACGCTCTTCCCGTCCAGCTCCCTGCCCACCCTCCCCCTCCATCCGTCCCTCTCTCGCGAATCCCCCGCCCCCCAGGCCTACGAAAGAGGAGGAGGAGGAGGAGGAGGATCGAGGAACGAGGAACGAGGATCGAGGAGGAGGAGGAGGAGGATCGATGTCTATCAGGACCGAGGGCTTTCAGGAGCGAGGACTCTCGGGATCGAGGACCGTGGATCGAGGATCGAGGCCCGTCCCTCTCCCTCCCTTCCCTCGGGCCTGAGGAGGAGGAGGAGGAGAAGGAGGAGAACTGAGGATCGAGGAGGTGGAGGAGGAGGAGGAGGAGGTGGAGGAGAAGGAGGAGGAGGTGGAGGAGGAGGAGCAGGTGGAGGAGGACTGAGGACCGAGGAGCGAGGACCGAGGCGTACCCGAGGCCTCCAGGGACCTCCTGGGACACCCCAGAGACCTGCCCAGCCCAGCGATGCAATGCGTATCCTTGCGGCGGGCTCCCTGGAGTGAAGTCGGGCTTGTCTCTCCACAGGAGGAATATCCCAACATAGTTTGAATACAAGTTGTATTAGGGACGTTTTTTGGTTGTTTGAAAAAACAACAACAAATTTTGATTACGTTGTAATTATAGATGATTTGACAATTTGTTTGTTCGTCCGGAAGCCGCCAGTAGGAAGACATGCCCGACCTAACCCTGGAGCTGTGGACACTTTCCCCAGGCCAGGTTCTCGTCCCAGCCTCGCGGGGCCCGAAGCGTTCCCCGGAGACAGAGGAAACGATTACACTTGCGGCAGAATGCCCCAACCAGCTTTACACGATCACTATGGGGGACACGATGGGGGGCCACGACGAGGGGCTACGATGAGGGGATCGGGACAGGGGTAGGGGCAGGGGTAGGGCTGGGAATAGCAGGATGGAGATACATGGATAGGAATCGGGACGGATACGGAGAATAGGTATTGGCGCAGAGGGACAGGCAACGTGAGGTAGGGACAAGGATATGGTTAAACACAGAAGGATCGGGAATGCGAGATAGGGATAGGGAATGAGAGGTATGGGTAGGGCGCTAGGGATATAAGGATATAGAGATACGTACACGGATCGGAACCGGGATGGACACGGATAACAGGTATTGGCGCAGCGGGATAGGGCATGAGGGATAAGGATAGGGATAGGGGAGGCAGCGGAAAGCTTCGGGAGGCAACGCCGCCCCCCCGAGTCCTGGATCCGGCCACCCGCCTGCTGGTCGCGGACAAAAGATCTATAGAGAACTTTTGCAGACAACATCTGTGCAGGAAACAGAGGGAGAGAAAGAGAGAGAGAGAGAGCGAGAGAGCGAAAAACAACAAAACAAGAACAACAACAACAACCATTTTAAGGCTGTACGCTCTTACTTGCCCGCGAGTCATTCAACACGTATACCGTACACCCTCGATACCCGCCCTCTTCGTCTTCGATCACACCCCTTTCGGGGGGATTATTTCTCTT